GGTCCAAGTACCCCCAGGGATACGTGTAACCCCAGCTGACACCCCCTGCCCTAAATATAAATTCAGAAATACATTCCTTTGGGCCAGCAGCCAGAGAATCTGCCTTCATTCTTCCTGAGCATTTTAGTAATATGAATGTGCACTTCATTTTCAAAACTTAGAAAAACAAATTAACTGCCTTATCACAGCCATCACATTTCCTCAACATTAATAATTTATTTTTTTACATTAGGAACATTACCAATTCCTGTATGATAGTGTTGCCACCATCTACCCTCCGCAGAATGGACAAGTAAAGAAAAATAGCAAACAGGAAGATAAAGTTGAATTTGACAATGAAGTAGAAAAAGCAGATCAAGAAGCTAATTTGGTTGCTATTGATCCCACCTCAGTGACGCCAGAAGCTAGAAAGGATTCGGAAGCATGTGAAGATTCTAAATTTGCAGACTGCATTAAAGGAACAGAGAGTTCTACAAACGGCCCCACAACTCCAGTTTTATAATATATAAGTCACGGTACAGATTTCTATATACAAAGGAGTTTAAAAAAAACAGAATAAGAAGCAGACATTTCCTTTTTCCTCACCTTTTTTGAAAGAGATTCACCCTGGGTCCATTTTTAAGAGGTACGGTATTCAAAGAATACTTGAAAGTTGTGGCACTGTGAAAGTTTAATTTTCCTGTAGAGTTGCATTTTACACTTTTTCGACAAATTAACTATTTTTCATTTTTTTCAAGTTTGTACAGAATACTGATGTTTCTAATGATATTCTAGTTTTGAGCATTGAGGAAATGAGTGATGTTACTTTTTCAGTCTTATTTTTTGTTGCAAGGAAGAAAGTACAATTTATCTACAATCATAAATATGAAATTTATTAAATATGTATATAAAAACTATAAAATTTCAGGTACTGAAAATATAAGTTGTCTTGTAGCTACTGTATCTCAGCCCAAGACAATTTCAAATGTAAGATGACACTGTAATAATGAGATTCCATATACAGAAAATTGATACATATGTTATAATTTTCCATGTATAGAATCTAATTATTGGAGGGTTATTTTAAATTTGTACCTCTCCTTCCCCCCATTGCAGCTCAGCAAGCTGTGAAGGAAGGCAGTAGGGGAGTCAATGGGACCTGACAACTGTTTCTTGCCTCCTGTCACCTGTCCCCACACCACTTCCCTCTCTGGTCTTTGCTCCATGCCCTGGCACTCATCCCCTTACAATGCCTGCCCCACCAGGTACCTGCCCCCTCACCTGTTCCTCCATGTCTGCCCCCTATGTCTTCCCCTACATCTGTCTCCACCCCCCTCCCCATGGTGCCCACACCCCCTGGCACATGCACCCCTAGTACTTCCATCATCTGACCTGACCCCCCTGTTCCTCCCCCCAAGCACATACCCTCTGGCTTCAGCCCCCACTCCAGCTCTGGGCATGGAGCACATGGTCACTCCAGCTCCCACCTGGCCATACAGCAGCAGTTGCATGCACTCCCCAGCCCTGTCCCCAGCTCCAGCCCTGTCCCCTACCCCAGCACTGGAGCCACCACCATTGTAACTTTTTCTAAGTGGCTAGGGAGGGACAAGAATCAGCATGTTCTCTGTGTCTTGGGCTGGCCAGAGTGGAGCCAGAGGGCCAGAGTGGAGCCAGAGGGCAAGTGGCAGCGGAGTTGGGGAAAGGGGAGAATGTGGGGGTTGGGCACAGTAACTTCCCCTCTATCTCTGACCCCAAGTCCAAGCCTGGGTTGGGGCTGAAGTGAGAGCTGCAGCAACTGCTTTCCTCCCCACCTGTACTCAAAATAAGGGGCTTTCCCCCTCCATGTTAAAAATGGAAAAAACCTCTTATCTTGGATTAGACTAAATATAGTAATTATTTCCTTACCATCTTGAAATTGATCTTTTGGGGAAGGAATATGAGCTTAAATTTCAAAATGCTGAGGAACTACAACCTGAATTAAAGTCACTGGGAGTTGAAGGTGCTGTGCAGAACAAACACAGTAGGTGTTGGTAAATGTGTGGGCTGGCATATGTCAGCATAGCTCCATCAAAGACAATACAGGGTTACCTTGGCTGAACTTCTTGCCCTGTATCCTACTAAATCTATGAGGAATGTAAGCTTTGCATTTGTCCCTGTATCCTACTAAATCTATGAGGAATGTAAGCTTTGCATTTGTCTAACTGACCTCAAGATGTCCCTGTTGCTCCACACAAATACATCTGAGACTTCTTACACCACCCTCAAAGAAAGTTCAGCTTCTGAAATACTGAATGATTGTTAAAGTTCTGAAGGACAAAAATGTCAAGTGCCATTTGGCAACTTAAAAATCTGTTTTAAAGGCTTTTCTTATGCTTATTTTCTGTTTAAAGAGAGCAGTCTGTCAAAGTGTTTTTTAAATCTATTTCCTATACTCACCATTCCAAAATACCTGTACTACCTGTACTATTCTTCAAAAACATTGTAGATTTTATTTAGTAGTGTTATAATATGATGAGGATGTATATGTTATCTTTTGATAATTATACTGCTGCCTTCCTGGACTTAGGTCTGTGTTAAAGCCAGATTAAAAGGACAATTAATGAATAAGTTGCTCAGTGAAAATTATTAAAAACTACAGGCTTATATGTAAAGTTGCTTATACATAAAAGCCTGAAAGGGCTTGAGAATTAACCTGTTTTTTGCAGATTATGTAAACTGATTGTTTTCTTATACATTAAGTAAAGGGTTTTGAACTTCCCAGCACATTAAGATGTTAGTAGAACAGCAGCATTACTTCATTCTTCTATAGCTCTCTTCATGGAAGTATCACAGACACTTCCAAAAGTAGGTAAATATCCTGACTCCTGTTTTCCCTCCAGTGCTCCAGGATACAGATGTATATGTTTATACTGATTCAACTAAACACCTTAAAATATGTGGAAAACTATACCAACATGGGTCAATATGGGTACTTGATTAAAGGACTCATAATCTGAAAGCTCTGGAGATGTGCTTGGGCCAAAGAATTAAAGTGTGATGAGGTTACCTTAATTTTCTAGTTGATCTAGGTTAAATGCTTCACAAGTGTGCACCCGAAATCCTGTTTGGAGAGACATCAGAAAACAAGAACAGTGGAAATTTCCCTGGCTGGAAAATTGACTTAAAAACTCCGTAGCAGGAAACTACTTGTAATTAATTAGTTTACTCCAATCTAACAGGGGAGCAGCTGTGGGTGCACAACATTTACTGCAGAGTTAATTAGTCTACTCCACAGCACATGTCTTGTGTAAACACGTCTAATAACTCCCAAAGCAACAAACACCTTCTTTGAAGGTAAATAACCCTAAAAACCAAAATCTCACCTCGTATAAATCCAGGTGGATCACTAAGTACACCAGCTAGAAATATGTCCTCTACATCCTTTACATTTTAAATTAAAATTAAATTTAAATTTTAAATTAAATTAAATAAGGGTTTGGGCTGTAGAAATTCTGGAGAATTCTTATTGGTTGAGCTTCCTTCTAATGATTTAGCAATTGATTCACAGTGTATTTGCTTCAAAATTGAATAGCAGTTTATTGATCTCATTTGTATGGATGCTGATAAGGAGATTCAAAATTACTGGTATGCTAACTCTTGTGTATTTCATACCTGTAACACTACCCGAAAAGTGCTATACTGAATTATATTCAGCCATCTCTTCATTACTTTATTTCTTTCTATTTAGTATCCCTACTCTCTGCAAGCCCATACATAGAATCTGATGAAGTAGTCTGTAGCCTAGGGAAGCTTATGCATTTCAGAATGAGTTAATCTCTTCTGTCGGGTTTTTAGTAAATACTAGTGTGACAATTTGAAGAATCTATGTACATCAGAGTAATACTGTTTGATATGGGGTATTTCCTATATGCATCTGTGACAAACTTCAATTTTTGTGTGTAGGAATTACTTGCTTCTCTGTTGTCTTTTTTCCACCGTATTAGCCCAAATCCAATGAGTAGTGACATGTGGCCAGCAGCAGAGGGTTGGTAAACCTTGATACATGGATAATCACACCTTTTAGACAAAGAATTTTAACTACTGACCAAAGGAAAAGTTTTCGAGTCTGGACTCTTGGAGGAATGTAATTAAGCAATGGGTCATACAGTAGAAGTCTTTGGCTGATGAAGCTGATCAAAGGGTCACCTGAGAAAGGACATTAGTGATCTCTGCTCATTAGAGAAAGAGACAAAAATTAGGCTACAGGAATGAAAAGACTCCATGTTTTTCATGGTAAGCTCTATGTATTAGAAAGGGGAAGAGGAAGGATCCTAGACTTGTCAGAGGGTTTGTCTTCAAACCAAAGAATGCTCAAGAACAGAGAGAAAACAGGCCAGGAAATGAATGTAAGGGCAACTCAGTCCTTCAAACTTATCTTATTAAATGGTGCTATTTTCAAACCTGCTGCCTTACCCTCTGCTTAAAAGAGGCTAATTAGCCCAAATTGCCTTCAGAATATTTGCCACTGCTTCTAGTATAGGAGGTAGCATATGCAGAGCAGGCTAGCATGTTCAACAATACCACTGCCTGACATGGTGAGTTTGCCGTGCTGATATATCTTAGATGTTTTGTTTTGTCTAGATCTTTATATTATTTGTCATTTTTAACATAGATAATATTACATTTAAAAAAATTTGCAAGTCCTGTGCTTCAACTACCATGTATCTCAAGAGAAGCAGATACCAAATAAGGGCGCCTACAGTGTTGGAGCTCTGGGGTGAGAAGGAAGTTTTTTCTTACTTAATGGAATGGTAATCACTGTTGCTGATGTCAAAGATTCCAGCAAAAAAAAAAAAAAACGCTTAAGTCAAGCCATACTCAAAATAGATCTAGAATAGATTCAGGTTTGTAGGTAGTGCTTAGTTTGAAATTACCCATGTATAATGCACTGTAATGATATGCAAGTTCTTTTAGGGGATTGGCCAGGCTACATTTCTGCACAGAGTCACTTTTGGAACTTGCTGGAAAAAAAAGTAAGTATGGCTAAGTACAGATATCCAAGAAGCCCAAGGCAGAAATGGTCTAAGTATTGAACTTTACTTGAGGTGCTCTAGGTTAGGTCAGGAGTGAACATAACAGATGTTTGCCCTTCAGTGGGGAGGGCTCAGAGCCTGCCCTCACTGTCTGAGGCCAGCAGGTAGGGAATGCTCTCGTATACCTCCCTATGTGCCTTGAGGAGTCTCTGGCCTCCTAAAGAGTCATGAGCAGAGCCAAATGAGTGAGCCACCCCTGACTGGCTGCTGGCTAGGGCCCACCATGCCCCCAACCCTCTACCATGTCACCATGGTCCCTCCCCTGAGCCCAGCTTCAGGCTTCCAGAAGAACCCCAGAGTGAGCATAAGTGCCTGTCATCATGACTTGTATATGTCTCCATGGGCCTGTCTACCCACACCCCACCATGGTGTCCTGCCATCCATGCCTAAACAAGGAGACCCAGGAGTTGTGGTGATGCCTGCTGGTTGCCTTGCCCAACTCACATTGGTGGCTGAAGGATATCATGCACATCAACCTGGACCTGGTGTGGCAATGGCTTGCCACCATGTGCTTTCAAGTCCATGAGCCATCAGCCAGCAATCCCACAATGCCCAGCCACCAAAACTTGTGTTTGCCAAGTCTCCAGGGCTGGGCCACGAAATTTCATGTGGTTAATAAGGATGAAGCCATCCAGGACACCATGGATGCCCAGGTGCTCCGGCACCACCTTGAGACTGTCAAGTACCAGTTCGGGGTCTGTGCCACCAGCATCCACTGGTGGGAGTGGATTGTCATGGGTACCTGGGACAATGAACAGTGGATCCAGACTTTCTGCATGTCCTGGGCCAGCTTCATGGATGTTGTTGCCCAGATGGTCCTCCAGACAATGTGCCAGGATGTCAGCATGCACTGACCCCTTGCTGTGTAGTAGTAGGTGGCCATCACTGTCATGAAGCTGGCCATCTCCAGCAGTTACTGCTACATTGCCAACCAGCTTCACATGGCCAAATCTCCATCTGGGGTGGTGTTTGGTCATTGACAACATCCTGGCCAACCATTTCATCCACCTCATCAACACCCCACATTCCCATCCTCTACTCAGCTCTGGCCACCCAGGTGTTCACCAACTATAAGGGCTACTTCAGCATCACCCTGCAGGGCATTGTCAACTACCAGGGATGCTTCACCCACATCTTCATTGGCTTAGGTGGACAGCACCTATAATGCCTGCATCTTCTGCAATTCCCATTCCCTGAGCTGATAGAGAGTGGGTACTATGCCCCCAGGGTCTCCAGTTTCATCATCGGTGACATAATTTCCCCCCTCTTTAGGGACCCAAAGTACCCCCTCCTGCCTTAGCTGACAAATCCCTTTGTGGGAGGTGGGCAGCTGGATTGCCAGAATTTGCACTTCAACTACTGCCTAAGCAGGTGGGGCATGGCAGTGAAGCATGCCTTTGGCTGCCTCAAAACATGACAGACTCTCAAGGTGTATGAGATGAACCTGGCAACTCATCATCTCTGTGTGCGTCCTCCACGATATTTGTGAGACCGGGGGCAGGTCTTCCATGAAGCCTGGGTCGAGGAGGCATGGAACACAGACTGGGCCTGGTGGCATGAACGCATGCAGTGCAGAGATGGGGGAGAGAGTGAGCCCTTGCTAATGTTGGGGGCCTTGACCCTGCACAGGAGAAGGCTGTTTAGCTCCACAATGCCCAGGCTAGCTACCTCCTCTCTCTCATGGACCAGGATCCCTCCCTGAATGAGTAGGGCCAGAGGGCTTTGAGTGCCCTTGCCCTGGCACCAGGCCATGGGTCTCCTGTCCTGGGTTCCTTTGTCCCTGCATCCCAGGCAGCACAGCCCACAATGCAGGCTGCCTGGACACCCGCCCCCAGGGTACACACCAGGGTGAGGTAGAATGCAGCACAAGGAAGTGGTGTGCCTCGGTTTAATAAAATGTTTCAGCTGCCAAACTTTTCGTGTGTTTAATAAAGCAAACCTGTTGAATGTTGCTGTGTCTCGGGGCGGGGAGGGGCAGCACATCAGTCTGCTAAGTCAGGCTGTAGTTGGAACAGCATTTAGCAATGGAGCCCATCAGCCCCAGCTCATCCAGTTGCCTGCTATGGGGCCCAGGGGAGAGCTCTTCTGCTCCCCATGGCCCCAGTCCTGGCCCAGATCCTGCTGGGGATGGACAGCCCCTGGGTCTGGGCTGGCTGGTTCTGGAATCACAGGGCAATGACTCCCATGCACCACACCTCCTGTCCTAGAGCCCCCACACATCCCAGCATCTCTCAGTCAGGGTGTGGTAGGGAGTATTTCCCTTCAGCCTCCATCCATGGGTCCCCCATGTGGAAGCCCCATTCCTGTCATCCCCCAAAATGTTCCCTGGAGTGGGGCTTGCCATGTCATGGGGGAATGGGGGGTGGGGGCAGCATCTTGTTCCAGCACTACTGCTTGGGCGGATTACAGGCTCTTCACAGGAGGCAGCACTTGTGCCAGTTAGGGGTGTCATAGGTGGACCCCAAGCCACCTATTACCTTTGTGCATACCTTATCCTGGTGCTGTGACTCTCTCAGCTCTGCAGTGACATGGGTTGTCTCCTCCAAACAGTGGGTGTCCATCTGGAGACCCTGTTCCTGGGCCTTCTGTGCCTCAACAACCTGGATAAAAGCATCTCCCAGCCTGTCCATTTCCCTCTCGATATCTTGAGTCATTCCTCTTGCCAGTCCTGCAGACTCTGGCACTAGGAGTCTGTGGCCCTGATGTCAGAGGCTGTGAACAGAGTTTGTAACATTTCTTCCTTACTTCACTGGTGCCTCCTATACACATCTCTCATGCTCTGCGTGTGTTCAGGTGACTGTCCTTGAGTCACCATCCTAGCCACTGTGAGCTGGCCTCCTATGCACAAATGCAGAGTCTATAGACAAGGGAAACACAAAGTCATTATGTAAGGTTGCAACTTTTAGTGATAAAAATAAAGTATAAAGAGAAGCATTTCAGACCCTCTCATCACTTGCCTGGCCACTTGCACAGACACACAGAGGAAGCTATAATAAGCTAGAATAAGTTTGCTGTCCCTTCCCCTGCCGAGGGCTGGGACCATGCAGCTGCTCTCCATGAAGCCAAAGGTATGCTTCACATGGCAGCAGAGATCATGTGTTCCAGCTGTGCTGTGGGTGGGTAGCTCCTACAGTGGGGAAGAGAAGGGTTGCCTGGGAGGTAAGGCCTGGGTCCCTCTTCAGGCACTGTGGTGGGCATCTGTTTTGCTCCCAAACAAAAGACCAGGGACCCTGATTCCTGTGGAGACTTGTTCCATTCCTGGAGTGGACAGGGGTTGACCATGCAGGGGAATGTTAGCAGGGTTCTTACAGTGCTCTCATCCCCTGTTCTTCCCTTGAAGGAGAGATGTGTCAGTGCTAGGTCCCTCTGGGAGCAGCACCTAAATCCCTACATTACCAGGGTGAGACATGACTGGTTCCTATACCACCATCCTCCCCCATGCTTCCCTTTCAGGAGAGGCATTTTGGCCCAATATTTTGATAGCTGAAGGACTATCTGCTTGGACATCATGCTGCGGAACCCTGCGTTGCCATTCAATGTCAGAATCCACCTTAAATTATATCTGTGTCTCCACTACAAGAAGCAATTGCCAG